GGACAAGTGGAGAGAAACAGGGGATGACTCCCGGGCTTGCTGTGACATGTGCCTCCTGCCTGTGGGCTGATGGTGCCTCGGACTCTCATTTTCCTCCTTCCGGGACAGACAGGGTGGCACAATCCCCACCCTCCCCCAGCCCTACCCAAGCTCACGCATTTGCTGGAGGGCTGGCCAGCTCTAGGAGCTCTGACCGTGAGCAGAGAATGGATGTCTCCTCGTGCCGGGCTGAGGGACTGATCCCACGTCCTCGGTCTCATGAGTGTGCCCAGACCAGTGAAGCCAGCCAGCCACGGGGGAGAGAAGCTGCTCACCTATAACTGTGCTCACAGTGAGCCGGCGCGGGAGAGGGCTCAGGCGTGTGGTTGCGTACATTTGGAGTGGGGAATTGTTCAGGGCAGGAAGAGTTACTAAAACTGACCCTGGATTGTTAGGGCATCACTAACTAATAGACTCCAGAGAGACAGACACTTAAATCCTTTACCAGGGTCAGAGTGGTGACTCGTGCCTGTAATCCTAGCACTCTGGGAAGCTGGGGCGGGAGGACTGCTTGAGCTGAGGAGTTTGAGACCAGCCTGAGCAAGAGCAAGACCCCGTGTCTAAAAAAAACAATAAAATATTCTTAAAAAGTAATAAAATCTTTACCTGAAGAATATCCACCTACATGAAACTTATTTGCTACACATGTAAAGAGGGAAATAGATCATCACGTGGTTACCATTTATTGTGTCACTACTATGCATCAGTCTCACTGCTAAGCCCTTGATAGACACCTCATTTCATCCTCATTAACAACCCAGTGATGTCAACACTAGTATGATCCCATTTCCTAGATAGGAAAACTGAGGCTTAGAGAAGTTAAGTAACTTGCCCAAAATGACACGGTCAGAATCGGACCCAGGTCTGTCTGACTCCAAACCCACGTTCCGGCCTGCTACTGTGACCCTGCTCCCTACTTAGGCTGTAGAAGATTCATTTCCGGCTTCCATAGGTGAAACTCCAGAGGCAGGAGTTTATTTATTTATTTACTTAGAGACAGGGTCTTGCTTTGTCACCCAGGCTGGAGTGCAGTGTCACGATCATAGCTCACCGCAACCTCCAACTCCTGGGCTCAGGTGACTGGCAGGAGTTTTTGTTCTAAAAAGTACGTCCATCCTGGCGAGAGAGGAGTAAAGGAAACTGCTGCGTTGAGAGCAGGTGCTCTGCTCAGACCAGTGGCGGCAGCAGGCGGTGCCCCCTGGTGGTGATGGCAAGGAAGGGCAGCGGGATGGGAACACTGAGTTGCCTGGGTTTGGCCAGTGAGTAGGGAACAGAGAAGCAGCAGTGTCCCTGGAGAAGAGAGCAGGTTCCGCCAAGTCGGGCTGCCCCAAGCAAAGGGCTAGAGCCTGTTTCCTTTCCTGGAGCCCGTGAGATGTCCCGGTGCCTTCTGCCCACCCCAGCCAGGCGCTGATCAGAGGCGACACACACCAGTCATCCAAATGACATCACCAACGCCAGCCACACTCTTATCATGCAGACCTAGCATTTGTGCCTAAATTCAGACCCCTGCACATAACATAGTGGCATCATCTCGGTTACAGTCTGAGGCCAGGCCTCGGGCTAATATAGATACAAGTCTGGTAACCAAAGGGGGAAACTCTCATTACTGGATACTGGATGGATTGGTTGATTGATTTCCCTTACAGGGGCCAGGCCTCATATGGGATGCCCTGGGGGCCACCTAACCAGGAATCAGATGAGGATGGAAGTGAGACAAGACAGGAAGTGCTCTGTAGCTGGGGAGCACAGAGGGGGGTGAAAATTCTATTGGGAGAGCTGGGGAAGGTGTGACATCAGGTTTTAAAACAGGGGGATATCTTGGGTGTTTGCCACACCTCTGTTTTGAGTCCCTTGAATATGAATTACAAAGTGTATTGACACTGAGAATAAATACAGAAACAGAGAGAACAAAAGGAATCTCCTACTTTCTCCCCAATACCTGCAGTGTTTGTCCTGGAGTGGGAAGGGGCTCCTTTCCTGGGGAGGGAGCAGGACGAGTGGGTGAAGGGCGCAGGTGGGACCCAGAATGCCTGTGTTCTATTTCCAGCTCCTATCACTGACTCACAGTGTGACCTTGCTAAGGTCACGGCTCTGTTTTATTTGCTGGGGGAAAATCAGAGGTGGCAAAGCTTGCATTTTCCCCAAGGGAGGGGAATCCTGGAATATGGGGGACAGCCCTACTCCCCACAACCCCCAACCATGTCTGGTCCTGCTGCTATTAATGAAAAAAAATGCTTAGATTTGGATCCAAGGAACTTTGGGGGACACTCAAAGCAGCAAGTAGTTCCTGCCATGGCGGGACTTAACGGCTACTTTTATAACATATGCAGTGTTTCTCCAAACACTTTTCCAATCCTGTTCCCGCACAAATATCCCCCAGGTGGCCCTCACATGTCTGTGGATGGGGAGAGGGAGGGTATTTGCTCTTAGTTTCAGGATGAGGAAATCAAGACTAGGAGTGGTATTTCTTAACTGGTTCATTACTGAGAGCCCTTTTTGTTATTTAACTACCATGCATCCCCCTGTTTTGAAAGCCCTTGTCAGCTAAATACTCTGTGTTTATTCAGTACAAATCTATCTCTATTTTCATTAATTAAAGTCACTAGTTCAAGTTTCTGCCCGGCTACCACTGAGCTCACTGTCAAGAATTGCAGCATTTACTCTGCGTGACCTCCTCAAAGGGAAAGGCCCAATTTGCAGCAGACTTTTTGAAATTTTGAAAAGACTTTATCATCAAGAGACCCAGGGACCTAGGCTGGGAGGTCCCCAGGAAGATCAAATAAGCCATGAAAGATTCTGTGGCTAGTGCTGGGGCCAGGACCACATCCGGGGTCTTGAATTGTAGACCCGCGCGCCAGCCAACCAGACCGCTTGGCAGGGAGGTCTGCGTGCAAACTCTGACATGCAGACACACGGGTGTACACGTGCAAGACGGCAGCCCACCCAAACGCAAATGTCATAAAGGAGTGACACTAAGGGCTCAAACAAGTACTGGAATGAGCAGCCAGCACCACTCCTGAGATTGGAAAAGTGCAACAGATTGTCTCAGAGTGATTCTGCAGGGTTGTAAGGGTGGAGGATGTGTTTATTCTGCCACCTGCCTGTGCTTTGTGTGACTTCAATAGTTTATGCATCCTTTATGTAGGCTGAGGCATTTTCACCCACTCTGGGAGCATTCAGACTGTTCCCCCAGCACCTGCCTCTTCAAGAGCATGAGATCAGAGTGGGGGCTGAGCCCTAGAAGCCGGGATGGCAACAGCAAACCGGGTTCCCCGGGCGAGTGGGGACAGAGACTGGGAACTTCAGAGGTCTGGCTTGGAGGCCTGGGATATAAGCAGGGAAAGAGCTGCAGTGTCTCAGATCTTCCCCCGGGTCTCCCCCTGCCCTTCCCCGGCCTCCCGCGAATACTCTCCTGTGTCGAGCCCTTGGCTTGGCTCCGTCCCAGAGGCTCAGTGTTTTGATCCCATGGCTCAGAGGCATCAAGACTGCGTGTACCTCTGGAGAAGGCTGGGGGCTTAGCTTTGTGGCTTCAGAATCTGTGGCTCCACCAATCCCCAGCAGGGCCGGGGGGCCAAGGCAGGGTCTCTGGGGGCCTGTTGCCCAACAGCTGTTCCCTGGGTTATTCTGGTCCAGTGGGAGCTTATCAATTCCAGGGTGTTTGGACCAAAATAGCCAACAGCAGGACAATCTCTCGGTGGCTCTGTGGGGACCTCCCCAGAGAGAAGTTTCTAAAATGGGCTGGTGCAGAGGGAAAGGAGTTTGGCTTGGGGGTTGGTGAAGAGGGAATTCTCCTGCCAGTCTGAGGCTCATCTTACCCACTCCCTGCCATTCTTTCACTTCAGCGCTGGCACCTCCCAGACCACCTGCCTAGGCCATAAAAGCTGGGGGTTTGATGGGGGAGGGAAGGAAAAGATAATTTTTGAACTTTGGTCCTCCTGCAAAGCTGGAGAGATACATATTACCCTTTCCCATTTCACAGATAGGGTTAACTTGGTCCAGAGAGGCAGACCCACCAGTCTAGGCCACACAGCTCAGAACCCAGGCCTGGTGACCCCAGGCACAGTGCGACCAGCTGGGCCTCTGTGGGACCAGCAGCTGATCTCTGCCCGGTGGATGCCAGTTCCGCGGAGAGCCCCGGGCCAGCATGGAAAGTGCTGACTGGCCCTGGCCTTCCTTCGAGCCACAGCGGGGCCCTGGCAGCTGCCTGTCTTGCTCACCCTCCCACCTCACTCAGATGGGTCAAGTGCGGGTGGGGGAGGGGAGAGGGAACACCAGCCACTCTCTCTCCTTGGAGCCCCGCCCAAAGTCGGGTCAGCAGCCCCTGGCTCTCCCCAAGAGCCTGTGGGGATTATCCCTGGAGCAGAGTCAGAGTGACCCGGGTCCCACTCCTCTTGGCAACAGGGGGTGGCGCACGGGGAGTGCGCTTTGGCAGCGGGCGGGCACGGGGGTGCCGGCGTATGTCCAGGACACGCCCTATGGAAACCGCTCCGGGGGCCCGGTGGTAACTGAACTTAGACGTCAAGTGCCGCCGGCCCAGTCCGCACAGCAGGTCTTATCTTCTGGTCTCAGAAATAAGCTTCCCGGGTGGGGTTGCGTTTGGCAACGACAACTCAGCCACCCCTGCCGCTCCCGCCTCTCCCCGGGATTTTCCAGCGGGTTAATTTCCTGTCCCGGTAAATCCTTTCGCGAATCCCTCGCCCCTCCCTCCCCGCTGTCCGTCCCCGCCGCCCGGGCTCCCCGAGTCGGTCCGCGCCGCGCTCCGTCGCCCCCGCGCGCCCGGGCGGTCCGCGCCGCGCTCCGTCGCCCCCGCGCGCCCGGGCGCACGCCCTCCTCGCCCGGGCC